GTTAACCAGACAAACAACTATTAAAGTTACCATGAAAATAACGAATTAAATATCTCATAAGATCACTCAATTTCAGAAATTTATCTAGCAAAATCATTGAACTTTGTTTTATTTCAATAAAATCACTTAACTTTGGCTATTGTATCAATAAAATCATTAAACTAAATTTTACATTAAAAAAATCTAATATGACAAATAAAATATTATCAATAATTTGGTGAAACTAACACACTGAAAAACTTAAAAGTTGCAACAATTTCAACTGCTATCAATAATTCCCCTGATTAATCACCAATCTACAACAATTGGTCCGTTTTTTTTCTTTCAAAAAATCACCAATTATGATATATATATATATATATATATATATTTTACTAATATAGTTTTTTCTTAAAAGAAAATTTAATTTTCTTAAAATTTTATTTATTTATGGGGTCTATAGTTATATATGGCATAAAAGATATTTTATTATTAGGTTAGATTTTTCTTTTAACGTAAATTTAGATGTGTGATTTTATTGATCAAAAAGCCTAAGTGGAATGATTTTATTGTTATAAAACAAAGTTTAATGACTTTGTTAGATTAATTTTTAAGTCGAGTGACCTTTTGAGATATTAACTTCGAGATTATATAACTATAGTACTCACCTCTTTTAACCAACAAAAAAAAAACTAAAAAAACTATAGTACTCACAATGAAGTATGCAATGAAAAAAATGTTTGCAATGAGATCTTCTTCATGAACTTATATTTCTCCTTCTTGATGTCTGACCTTAGAAAATTCAACAATCTTAGTTTGCAACTTTTCAATCAATTATAAGAATCATTTTGCAACTGAAATAAATAAATAAGAAAGAAGGTGACACCATCTAGTAGAACAAAAGGAATGGAAATAACTCCTCAAGACGGAATTAGGAAATGCAAAATACATAGTCTACTTGTGTATAGTCAAGATATTCTATTATTAAAAAATATTCCTAGTAATTTGACAAAACCTGTATTTTTCTTTTTTTACAAAACATTATTAAATTTTAACCTATCAAATACAAAATGCAAATGAAACTTAATATATATTTGTAAATAGATTAGTGTTTCACCAAAAAAATCTTTATAACTTTATTTTGGATCTCCTTATTTCATTGACTTGAGTAAATATTTTAAAAACAAGAAGGAAAAAATGATATATATTTTTTCCTTTATTTGATGAGGGTGGGTGGGGTGGGGTCTATTGGAAAAATAGAAAAAGATACTTAATAAAACATGCAATTTTATAATGTCAATCATGTATTAAGAAATAAAACAAAATTAAATGTGAATGTATCATTCACACTTATCAGAATAAAATATAAAAATATTGGTTAACTAAGAGTATATTTAGTTCAAGGGATGAACTTTTTGTTTGTTTTGAAAAAAAAGTAAATTTAAAAAATTACTGGTAGCCTAACGAATAATAAACTCGGAATGAGATTTATTATTTCTACTATTTTTTTTGGAAGAGTCAATTTATTTTTTATTTTCATGCAACTTATATCTTCAATGTATTTTACTAAAATAACTCAAATGCCATGTAAATTATTTACTAGACCAAATGTATCCCCTGAGAAATGGCTATATAAATCAGTCTTCATCATTCTTTTTCACTCACTAAGTCTTCTCTGTATATAAAATATTCCTTCCATATTTTCATATTAAATTTCGTCTATATTTTCAGATGACAGAGAGAGGAAATTGCATTGTAGTTGTAGTAACAACGACTGTCACCCCAAATGAGGTTCCATATAGTGGTGTGAGGAAGAGGTCACAGGCGAAGTACAAAGCTGAATTTACAAACCAAAACGTATGTGTCTGGCTTGGGAACTTTGATACACAAGAAGAAGCCGCAAGGGCTTATGATAAGGCTACGAGAATGTATCACGATGCTAAATCCAAACTTAATTTCCCGATGTCAAATGAGGATAACCTAGAAAATGGTATTGTAGCTATAGTGACAATAGTTGTAATCCCAATTGAGATTCGATATAGGAGTGTTAGGAAAATGCCATGGGGTAAGTACAAAACTAATACTACAAATCAGAAATTATGTGTCTGGCTTGGGACCTTTGATAGAAAAGAAGAACCTGCAAAAACTTATCTTAAGGCGATGTGGATGTATCGCGGCCTTAAAGCCAAAATCAATTTCCCGACATTAAATGAGGATAACCTAGAAAATGAGGAGCTCAATCTTGAACTCACCCTTGCTTTATCAGGGAGAAAATGAAACTATATGACACATCAAGTATTGATTGCAGTTATAAGAAGCAATAATTTAATTTCCATTTTTTATTTTTAGAAGAACAAAAATAACAGGAAACTTAATTATTTCTTGTTCGTAATTGTATATATACATTTTTTTCCATTATAGAATTCAGTTGAATGAATTTTTATTTGGTTGCATTGTTTATTTTCCATGTTAATCCCCTTTCTGTGCTCATCTTCTATTATATATTTCTTTTAATTAGTATAATCTTGATTCTTTAGAAATAACTTCAAGATGCTAATGTCAATAGCTAGTGTGCATCTTAACCCATTTTTTATATTCCTTTGTATTTGTTGTTGTGCATTTTAATGGAATGTGATTCTTTTTAATTTGGGAGTAAATTTTGAGTTGTATTCAGATTCATATTGTCACTCTCCGAATCTACACCATAGACGTGACCGACACTGGAGAAACAATGTTGATCTCCAAGCTAACCTTTGGTCTGGCTAATTACTCAGTGGAAGACTTACTGAAGAACATAGGAACTCAATTACTGCATTAACTCATAAGGTCTCAATAGAAGTTTGAAAGTATATAATTAAACATAAAAGATTTGCTTCAAGTCCTAAAACATCACAAAGGAAGATAGGGAAAAGACTCCTCAAAACTTTTGTCTATGAAGCCTCTAAAATACTATAATGGAAGTCAGGTCCAGAACCACGACATCCTAAATAAACTGAAATCTAAATGTGAAACCCTTTGAAAGCAAGGAGGCTCACCAAAGCTAGCTGGAATGCGACTAGATCAACAGAGCGTCGATGGATGATCCTGAATACCTGTATCTGCATCATCTAATGATGCAACCCAAATGGTGTTAGTACATTAAATGTACAAACATGTAAAGGGAGCACTGAAACATAACATATAACTTGAACTAATAGAAAGGAAGACATACTCATCTCGTCTCAACTCAACTCAACTCAACTCAAGAATACTCAACTCAACTCAGCTCAAGAATACTCAACTCCACCCTATATAGATGCAAGATGTATAAAACTTTTAAAACTGTTGATAACAACTCAATGTATATAAAAATACAATAATAGACTCTTTACTCTTATTTGGGAGATTCTCTAATCGACAACCATCATTATGAGCAACGTTATGATGCATCGTCTCACCCACGATGCCAGAACTGTCATATACCTTGCCGGAGTATAGGACATCCTCAACTAAGTGGATCCACTAAGCTATGCTTAAAAGCAATAAGGGATCATCTAAAAAGTATGATCCTTTACCCATATTAACATACATGATTTATGAGGATTTTGAGTTATATGAACTCATCCCCATATCGGTGCTCAGTACTACTTCCAATAATATATATAACTCATGCTCATATGTTTAAAAACATAAATCCTCCTCAATTTGAGATAACTACTCAATAGGTTCTCTTACAAGAGACAGAACTTAAAACTCTTCATGAACTCGTTTAGAATCAAGGTTTCCTCTCATTTTAAATGTAAAAATATATACACTTAGGAATACTTAGTTCCCTTATAATTATTTTGAAAAATGAAACTCAACCTTCCTCATCATATTCATTTACTCAAGTCTTAAAACAAGCTATAAATAATTGAAGAAGACTTCTCAAAAGGACTCAAAATGACTTTCTCGAACTTTACTCTTAATATTTACTTTGAATTTGAAATGTGAATTCAAGAGTTATGATTAGCATATGTAGGATCTTTCAATGATTAATCAAGACTTAGATAAGTAGTAATAAGAAGAGAGAAAAGAAACGATTCAAAGGAACGCATACGGGTTGAAAGACGGAGGTGGAAGAGGTCTAACGCCCTGGCGCAATAGTGGCACACCGCGCCATCCCTCAATTGCTTAAGGCTGGTTTGTGGTGCACTGCAGGCGCAGGGTGCCAGCCCCTCTGACGCTACGGGGGAGGGGGGGGCGTTACCCTAGCCTATTCTGAAAATGTTTTGGTAATTTTTCTTCTCGATTTTTGGTCCTAATTCACCTAGAATCGATTAATTTATTCTCCCTTAGATTCATAAACCCAACATAATTCCTGGAAATCCCACTCAAATAACATCATTAACAACACTCAAGCGCAAAACCCTCACCTCAATAACTCAACAAAACTCCATTGTTAAAGAATAAAGCACAAAACCTCAAAAATTTCTCAAGAATTCAAATCAACCAACCTGAAGAATGAATTCATGGATAAAAATCACATGCTTCGGAGATGGTTGCGGATATGAGGAGCAGGATGAGTCTTTTTGTTGCTGGGTTGTCCCGTCTGTCGAGCAAAGAGGGAAATGCAGCCATGCTTATTGGGGGCATTGATATAGAAAGGTTCATGGTCTATGTGCAGCAGGTTGAGGAAGAGAAGCTGAAGGATAGAGAGAAGTCTAGAAACAAGAAAGCGAAGACAGGGAATGAGTCAGGGCAGTAGAGAAATAATGTGAACCGGTCTTCTTTCCAACAAAAGAAAAATGAACCTTCTCCATCATCTGCTAGTGCACCTGCACCCAGAAACAAAGGTGAATATAATGGTTAGAATTCACAGAACTTCAGAGCTAGACCTGCACAATCTCAGGGTAGTGTGGCACAATGAGGTAACTGGGCTCCTGCATGTGCTAAGTGTGGTAGAACTCACCCAGGTAAGTGTCGCGATGGCTCCACAGGTTGTTTCAAGTATGGATAAGAGGGTCACTTCATGAAAGAGTTCCCTAAGAACCGGCAAGAAAATGGGAATCAGGGCAATAAATCCCAATCTTTATCAGTTGCTCCACCAGACAGGGCTGCACCTAGAGGAGCTACTTCTGTTACTGGCGGAGGGGAAAACTGCCTTTATGCGATCACTAGTCGTCAAGATCAATAGTACTCTCCTGATGTTGTCACTGGTATGATCAAAGTCTTTACTCTTGATGTTTATGCTTTGCTAGAACCAGGAGCAAGTTTATCTTTTTTAACCCCTTATTTTGCAAATAATTTTGATGTTCTTCCTGAGAAACTCTGTGAAACCTTTTGTGTTTCTACACCTGTTAGGGGAGTCTATTCAAGCTGAGCGAGTATATCGTGATTGTGTCGTTTCCATCAATCAAAAGAGTACCATGGCTGATTTAGTTGAGTTAGACATGGTAGATTTTGATTTCATTCTTGGTATGGACTGGCTTCATACCTGTTATGCCTCAGTTGTTTGTAGAACTCGAGTTTTCAAGTTTTAGTTACCAAATGAGCTAATCTTAGAGTGGAAAAGTAGTTCAGCAGTGCCTAAGGGTCATTTTATTTCGTACCTTAAGGCAAGAAAGTTAGTTTCCAAGGGGTGTGTCTATCACTTAGTCTGAGTTAATGAATCTAGTGTTGAGATACCTCTTATTTAGTTAATATCAGTAGTAAAAGAGTTTCTAGAAGTCTTTCTAGATGATCTTCCCGGAGTCCCTCCTAAGAGAGAAATAGACTTCGGTATAGACATTCTTCCAGACACTCGTCCCATATCTATTCCTGCATATAGAATGACACCAGGAGAGTTGAAAGAGCTAAAAGATTAGTTGAAATATCTCCTAGATAAAGGCCTCATTTAAACAAGTGTCTGACCTTGGGAAGCTCTGATCTTATTTGTTAGGAAGAAGGATGGTTCCCTTAGGATTTGTATAGATTAGCGTCAATTGAATAAGGTTACCATCAAGAATAAGTATCCTTCTTTGTGAATTGATGATCTTTTCGATCAGCTTCAGGGTGCTACTTGTTTCTCTATGATAGACCTCAGATCAGGCAACCATCAGTTAAGAGTAAGGGAATGTGATATTCCACAGACGACATTCAGAACCTTTTATGGTCATTATGAGTTCTTTGTTATGTCCTTTGGTTTGACCAATGCACCTGCAACATTCATGGACCTTATGAATAGAGTATTCAAGCCTTATTTAGATATGTTTGTTATCGTGTTCATTGATGACATACTAATCTATTTGAGAAATGAGGAAGATCATACTATCAATCTCAAAATAGTTCTCCAGACTCTAAAGGATAGAGAGTTGTGTGCTAAGTTCTCAAAATGTGAGTTTTGGCTTGAGTCTGTGGCATTCTTAGGCCAAAAATAAAATATGCCACATTGTGTCTGGAGAGGAAATTAAAGATGATACTAAAATTATAGAGACAGTGCAGAATTGTCCTAAACACACATCTCCAACTGATATTAGAAGTTTCTTGGGGTTGCCTGGCTATTATAGAAGGTTCGTATAGGGGTTCTCATCTATTTCGTCCCCTTTGACCAAGTTAACTC